TATACTACACACACACACACACACACACACACACACACACACACACACACACACACACACACACACACACACACACACACACAATTTGCAGAAGGGACGTTATTAATATTCCAAAGTCAAGCACACAGAAGTTAGGAAATGCGCTGGTGTAGCACATCCTTTTATGATACAGGTATTTGGAATCTGGTATCTGCCACTGGAAGGACTGCCAGAAGGATGTCCCTATCATAACTGTTACTGCAGGAGGTGTAGAGGTAATGGTGGAGTTGTTCAGGAGGTAGCTGTAAGATGTTACAAATTAAAACTAACACATCACTTGAGGATATAGGGATTCTTGAAGGAGTTACAATTAATCCAAACAAATTTTCTGTACATATATTATGTGCCTTCAGTTCCCACTTCATAGGGTAAAACAGTAATACTTAATAAGTTAATACATTTCATCTATTTAAATAAAAGGTAACATTAATGCTTTTCCAACCTCTGCTTTCTTATATTGGAAGATGTAGGGTAGTGCAGAAGAAAGGAGGTTATTATGCAATGCACCTTAGATAAAACTAGGTATTGGGTATTCTGAGATGTTTTAGGAATGAGTTTTTAGGTTACTTGCCTGGGACTATAAGAATTCTGTATCTGTGTTTTTATGTTTACTCGTTAAATATTTGTCTTCAATTAACTTGACTTGATCCATAGACATTCTCCTTGTAAGCCTATGGAAGTGTATATTCGAGGAGATTGTGTATACATCCATTTAGATCTGTCTTGTTGATTTTTTTTTTTATGCTAGTTAAAAACCATGTGTTAGCACTGTTACTGGCTCTTGCTATGAAGCAGTGCTTCACTCCAGTGTCTCAAATCCTGCATTAACTCTTACAAGCCAGCATCCCATTAGGAGAGTTGTGTTTGAGTTTTAAGCCTCTTTTCAAAACCAACAGCCTATCTTGACATAATTCTTTCTGTCTGACCCAGACTAAAGCAATGCTGTGTGCTCCCTCTGGCGGCTCCCTGATGTGTTACATAAGAGTCAATTTTTAGGATTATGCTGATAAGACTGAAAATGTT